TACTTCTTTTGCCCCCTCCTCTCAAAAAAAAAAAAAAAAAACTTTAGATGATACGTTAGAAACATTAAAACAGTGGTATATGCACGTAATGATATACATACACTTATGTGCACAATTCAATCGTCAGTCTCTGTATAATTCAGGTTGTAGAGGTCAAGCAAAAAGGCTTTATATGCGTTAAATACATCATTTTTTCTATTCTTTTATTTTTCATTTAATTCTTCTTCTTCTACTGTTTTATGAGTAATAATTCAAAAAAATGTGTTATGGTTAATGACAATATTATCCGGTATTATGCATCATACAGAGCGATACTGTCCTAGTGACTTGGCAACTGTATGACAAATGATTGTAAAGTATTTTTACTTATCGCTCCAGTTGTTCTTTTTTTTTTTTCTCCTTTATTCTTTTTCCATCCATCCATCCATTTCGGCTGCACATTTTCACATTCCCTTCCTCTCTTAGCTTTACCATTTTTCAAAATAAAAAGATACAAAAACATTTTTAGACATTTATAAGAAACTAAATGAGCAAAAAAACTGACCAGTTGAACTCATTGTTATAAAGAAAAATCCGTGTGTATATATTGCAGCCAATTATCCTTCACCCGAACTCTCTCTTTTCTGCTAATACTTATAAATACAAAAAAAAAAAAACGAAATTTTTCAAAGCTTTATTCAAAAAATTACACCATTTAGATAAATCTGACGTTACGCTGCTCTTATAGCTTCCTTGAACTCTATGTTTAGTAAAATTGGAACTTTGTTTGCTCATATCTTATAAATGCACTGCTTTTTTTTTTCTCTTTTGCTATTTTATTCTGTCACTGTTTCTTTTTTGGGTCCACTTTGATCGGAATTTTTACAGTTGTTACGATAAAAACTGTGTGCTATTTGTTGTCGTCCTAGTCGTCATCATCGTCAATCTAATATTTGATCGTTGTCATCTAATCTTGCGCTGTTATGCAATGTTGACAGATGTTAACACCCGCATGTAAAGAATAAGAAAAAAATAAATACTCAAAAGGTTAAACCAAATTTTTTACATATATATCCAAAAAAAAGATGTAAAAAGATAAGAATTATTAGCTTACGATTCCTTGGAGAAGTATCTTTCTTGAACAGTTCCGGTATAAAGTTTGAAACCGTTGAGTACTACAGTGACCATTTAAAAAAAAAAAAAAGTCTAAGAAAAAAGAAAATTGCAACCTAATTGCAAATAAGGGCCAAATTTCAGCATAGATTATATAAATTTACATAGTGCTGTAAAATTTGTTTTTGATAGTATAGTGCTGTAATTTTAATAGACTCTTAAGCAGTTATGCTTACCGTAATTGTTTAATCATTCAGTCCTCCTTCAGTTATTCCCAGAACTTCTTTCCTATTCAGAAGTTTAGTATAAACCTGGAATCGTGAACACTGTTAATGTGTTTGAAAAAACAGTGACACTTTAGAACGATAATGTTACAAAAGAGTAGAT